TCAGCCCACATGTCCATTAGCGCAAGTCGTTAGCAATCAATCCGATCAGAGGAGAAAAAAAGGCCTGCTGCTGGGTTGATGGATGCCCCCACTGGGACCGATGGGACGGCTGGATGGGGGAAGCCCGGTCACTGGTCCACGTACTGTTTCTTGACCCCCATTAGCCTTGATACACAGACACACACACAAACGCACAAAAGGCTAACACTGACAGTGTTTAGCAGCGTTGCTATCAACCACAACTGCAAACCAAAACGTCACCTCCATTTAGGTTAAAATGTCTCCTGCCCCTCCGAAAGCAGAAGGCATCTACAAGCTGCGCCCGGCGTGCAGCGTCACCTTTGTTCCAATGCAAACCAGACGGCGAGGGCCTCGGCCGCTGATGGAGCGTGACGCGAGCGCCCTCGTCCCGGCGGGGGATCCTCCGTGCGGTTAATGTTCATCTTAGCATGTGTTTTACTGCTTAATTGAATAATGGAGCAATGAGAGAGGAAGGGAAAAACCGCACGGATGGAGCGCTGCACCGAAAAAGGCAGCCAGCAGCGGGAGATTTTTGGTTTTTAGAAGCAGCGGTTTGTGAGCGGCGTGGATACATGTCCGTCAGAGACACTTTCACCAGCCTTCATTCAACGGGCCGCGTCACCTCTCTCGCGTCCCGTCCACCGATGCCGTCCCCCTGGAGTTTGAAAGTGCAGAACGATGTTATGTAATTAAATCCTGGCCTCATAATTTGGTTTTGGTGAGCAGATTGCATCCTTGTTATCTGGCGGTTTCACCAATGGCGCCTCTTCAGAGTGCAGCCGTTTTTTCTTCCCGTAACTCTTTGGCCGCTCTCTCCGTCCCCATTTGTACATTTGTGTCGAATCACAATCAAACTGTCAGAGAGTGAATCTTCTGATTCAACGCAAAAAGGGGGGCCTTTTTCCCCCTCGTTAAATCCCAATTAACGGGGACACGTGCTCGACCATATGCCGACACGAGAGGAGCCACCAGGCCCGGGGAACAGAAGTGAACACAGCGGGTCACCGGTCCACGATGACCACACCCAGAACCAGCTGGAAACAATGAGGGCCTCTCCCCCTCCATCCCCTGTCCTCGATTGGCTGCCCCACAATGAAGCCACCACTGCGGCGTCTGTCGCCCCGCTCTCCTTCTCTTTGTCCGCCTTTCCCCGGCTCGCTCCTCCAACCGTCCTCGGGTCCCATTTGGCGGCGCGTTCTCAGTAAACTGTTTCATCTGGCGCGTGCACGGCAACCTACGAGTCGACGCCGTGTGGCTCGCCAATTAGCGCCTCTTCGACTACGATGACTCGCGGGCCGTGGGAGGCGAACGGGAGGGGAAACACGCGCCGGGCTCGGCGATTTTATGAAAAGAGCTGGGAGCACGGGAGAAACACATGGTGGGAGATGAAAGAAGAACAAGAAGAAAAACACACGCGCTGCACGCAAACTGTGGTCCTGAGGCCGCCGGCCCAAACGCGTGGGTCTGGATGTTGGGAGGGGACGAGGGAGGGGTGACGGACGCACGCAGGACCATAGTGATCGATGGATTCCCTGTCAGCGCTCTGCAGAGGGATCATCCACCCATCACAGCGTGTCGCTCCACCCAACTGCTCTCAAGTGGGGCAACGGAGCGCCGCAGCGCAGGTACCGCCATTCAGAGAACACGTGCGAAAATCTCCATGGCAACCCCTCCGGCGATGTCCGTAACCTCGCCTCGACAGGGAGGGAGAGAAGAAATGTGGAAGCACATGGAGGACAACAAAACGACGCTTCCACACATGTCGTTGTCTGTGCCGGCGTAGCTCCGCCCACCGGCCGAGGCTCCTCCCATCCCTGTCTGCATTGCACCAAAGAGAGCTGCATCATTTCAGAGTCACTATTTTCTCATCCGGGGCCAAAGGAGGCTGAGCAGCATGCAGCGACTTCTCATGCACATCCTTCCTCTCTCTCTCCCTCCCTCTCTCTCTCCCTCCACTCTGCGTTCCTGTGGCTTAGAAAAATGGCGTTCTTGAAACACTAGCGAAGGAAGCCGCCTCTTACGCGTCAGCCCGTTCTGTGCTCAGGTGTTTCTTGGTTGCCGCTGAGCCGAGCCCCCTCGGGACGCCGTTACAAACGGTTTACCAGCAGCGCGGCGCTCACGTGTCGTCACGCATTATGTGTCTGTGTGAGGAGGTGAATCTGCATTCTGGTCACGCCGCCTCTCGCCGCAGCCAAACTGCTGACTGAGGACTACAGGTTACCAGCAGTCTGACTGTGGGAGCAAAGACGGACCCGGCAGCGGAGGAAGAGGGGGGATGACGCCGCGATGAGGGCCACGGGAGGCATCTTGCATCGATTGCCGTCAAATGTGACCCATTTTTCATGTTCTAAAAATATCAGCGACCGTTTGAACTGTCAATGTTTGTGTTGTGGAGCCATTTATAGAGCAGGAAGTAGGAATCTGAAACAGAAAGAAGATTAGAGACACTAGTTCAGTCCAGCTTCTAACCAAATGAAGGCGATGCACTAAGAAAATACCCAGCAAGCACCTGTCATTGTCCACTACGCCCCAGCATTCTCAGATTCCCCCCCCCCACAATGCCGTGCGGTCTCATTCGGGACTCCATTAAGATCTCACGCCAGTGAAGCGAATCCTTCTGATTGATTCGCTGCCCGAGAGGTGTCAGTGGAGCGGGCGGTGTCACATCTGGGCTTTGAAGACGAGTCTCGTTGCCGGGGGCGATGGGAAGATGTGAAGCCCGTCGGTTATCGTGGACTGCCAGGCGGGACGCTTACGCGCGCGGGACGGCGGCCGTGAGAAGAAAGTAAAAGAGCCGACTCACTCTGACATCATCACATGTGCCACCGTGAGGCCGATTAAAAAAGCAGAGCGCCCGGGACGGATTTGGAAGTTTTAGGACCCCCCCCCTCCCTCCTTTCCCCCCTCCCTCCTTCCTCAGCTTCCTTTCATATGCTAATGAGCAGGGCAATTGTGCGAGCCAACAGCCTGGAATTCCTCTCCACAAAGGAGAGATGGAGATGGAAAGAGAGAGGACAGAAGGGGACAGAGAGACCAGAGACCAAAAAACGAAAAGAGGCCAGAGAGACCAGACCAGAGACTAGAAACCAGAGAGACCAGAGAGACCAGAGATCTACTCACATGTACGTTTGTTTGCTGAGCTTTAATCTGCAACAAACTGATAATATTCCAGAACCTAAGAAGGTTTACGTCCTTTTGTCCTTTTATTGACTAATCACTTGAGCTCTAGTTGTGTTTCCAACCCTAATTCCAATCTTGCTCAGTAATTGTCTATCAGTCCAAAAGCAGCATCGAGGGTCACATGGGGAGGCCTCTCTCTGATGTGGGTGTGGTCCGTCACCACGGGGATGTCAGCTGAGGTGGAGGCCCCTCCCCCCACAACACGGGCTCCAGAACAAAGAGAAGACACACACACACACACACACACACACACACACATCCAGCCAGCCACCTCAGACCGGCCCTCCAGAGACACAGAGAGCCGGTGGGCCAATTAGGGTCCCCAAGGTCCCCCCCCCCCCAGCACCCAGCCACCCAGATGCGAGCACAGCCCTGTATAATTGGTTTCCTCATCTATGAATTATTAATCCTGGTTGCTCTTTGAGGTTTTTTGACAGGGTCGGGTCATGACAGTGCACCCTCCAAGACGCCGACCCCCCCTCCCCAGTGCCGTGTTAAAACAACTCCTCCAAACAAGGGGGGGGCACTCGGACACAACGGAGGAGTGGACTGATGAAGGACGTCCTCAGAGTATCAAAAATATTCAACGGCTACGAACCGACCGACTGTGTCGGCTCCAAACGCTTCTGAGAATAGTTGACTGTAAATAGATGACAAAACCAGCACGCCAAATACTTGCGGCGGGGCCAACGCGCCGAGGCCTCGCTGTTGTTGGCGATGGGGTTGTTGTCTCCGCCTCACACCAGGTGTCAGCCTGTAAATATTTCATGAGGCTTCCTCTGTGCCTCGCGACCGGCGCACAAAGGCCCGCGTTCAGCGCCGAGGCTCTCCGGAGACAGAGGCCTATCAGTTCGGCCCGGGGACGCAGACAATTTCCAGCGCTGCTAAAATTAAGTTAGAGGGGAAAAAGGGGGGGGGGGGGGGGGTGGCACGCCAGAGAGCAGCAGCAGCGCCGCGGCGCTTCACATCGGGCATTCCGTCGCAGAACGAAAAAAAAAAAAAGGAAAAGGGGGAAAGAAATGTGGGGAACAATGCGCCGACTGTGAGGCTCTGCAGTGGAAACGCAGAAGGGGCACGAATGAGAGATACGAAGTGTTGGTGAGGGTGCCGAGTTGACGTCTGCGCGCATCGGGATAAACGGACACATGCAAGACGGCGCGCGACAAAGAGCGCCGTATGATGAGGAGGACGTCCACATTCATGTGATCAGAGTCACCGGAAAGTCACGTCATGCTCCGACCTTTGCCCCCCCCCTGCACTGGACATCCCGTCTCGTTGGACTTGAGCGTCTTCAGCTGGATTTCACCAGCTGGCCCTCGATATTTTCAGTGCATTCACACTTTTTGCCAGATATTTTGATTGCAAAAAGAGAGAAAGATCTTTAAATGGAGCCATTTCCTACTAAACAAATGAGATGAGATTCAAACCAAAGAACCACTTGTTAAACTACTACATAAGATTCAGGATTGTTGTGGAGCTGCACGAGGCTGCGGCCTGCAGGAGCAGGGACACTTGGAGGTCAGCATGCCGAGCGCGCCACAGTCTCCCGTTCCACGTCGCGCTACTGAATGAATCCTGGCTATTAATACGCGAGATGTCAGGGATGCCTTTTCCGAGAGAACTCTTAGAGAGGGACATGGGGTCGAGAGGGAGGCACCGAAATGTGCAGCGAGAAAGAAAACCTGCTGCAGCACAAAACGATGTCAACCCTCAAATTAACAACATCAATGAGAAAATAATCCCCTACTTGCCCACCGGGCCTCATGAATCAAAGGCTTGTCCCATGAGGAGGAACCGACCTGGTCGCTCCAGGCGCAGTACAGGTCGCAGATCAGACTCCAGTTGTTGTTGATCATGCAGTCGAGAACTTTGAGATGAGCCATGTTTCCCCGAGGAGTTTAAATCCGCCCCTCAGCCGCCGGGTACCGAGCGCCGGCGCTCCTCGATGCCGCCTTGATGGAGAGGAGGGTGCTAGGAGCACTGATGGAGGGAGGGGGGGATCATCAGCAGCCTGCAGGAGGGTGCCTCTCTCTGCCCGTCTCAGCAGGACTCCCATCCGTCGCCCCCGCCTCATTAGCGATATGTTAATGAACCGCGCCGCTCAAGAGGCTCACATCGCGTGGAATGCGAAATCACGCAAGAACGAAAGTTGTCATCGGCACACACGGAGATGCGTCGCCGCGGCTACGCAGCGGGATGCGGACCGTCCGGCGCGGCTTACGGAGCGGAGCGCTGTCCTCCCTCGTCCTCTGCCTTCAGGAGATCCCTCCCCTCCCTTTGATGCCCGTCCCGTCCCCGGGCGCTCGTCTCCGCTGCCGTACCAGGCGGAGGCAGCTCGAGAGCCGGGCCCCACGCGGTGCAGGACGGAGCCGAGTGACGGCGTGCTTTCCCCCCCCCAGGACGAGAGTGAAGGTACGACCCTCGCGCTTTGAACACGTCGAGTTGTCAGTGTAATCCAGTAAGAGAAAAAACACACAGAAGGTGTGCGAGCGATCCGCCTCTCCCTCCACACTGATGCTGCACTGTGTGCAGGCGATGCGGTGCCGCGTCCCGCCTCAGTTATTTATTTCATTACTCTGCAGAAAAAAAAAAGCTTCACAGAGACAAGATCCCCCCCCCCTCCCTCCCTGACAGAGAGGCCAGAGCAGTGCCGCAGCCCCCGCCGCTCTCTTAAGTGAAATTACCGTCGCGTTAAAGACTTCCCTTCGACGCGGGATGTCGAAGAAATGGATCTCTTGAGGGAGGGAAAGGAGCCGGAGATGCACGGGGGGAGAGAGTCAGGAGACTACTGGATGCCAGTAAATAGTCTGGGCTTGTTTATGTCCCTTCCAGCCTTTGATGTCCAGATGGTTTTGATTGTGACGTGAGCTCCGAGGCGGCTTCATTAGCTCACATGAGAGAAACGCCTCAGCGAGGAGGAGTTTGACATGAAGAATAAAAGGGTTCAACATATCCATTATAACCCCTCGCTTAAGCTCTACGTCCTCAGGGGACAAAGGCCCCCGAAAGCAAACTGTGGTCAGCGCGCAGGTGCAGCGGCGCGCCGCCGAAGTGAAGGCGTAAACTATCCGAGGGGGTCACGTAACTGGAAGACAAGTCCAGTGACAGTACAGACGGGTCGGTGAGGCTACGCACACAGTCCGGGTCAGAAGAGGTCAGCAGAGACTCACGTGGGCCCCCCGGGTCCAGACACGGCCCACCTCGGATCCTCAACGCGCTGTAAACATGGAGACTATTCGGGGGAGGTGATCACCCACCTCTCTCCTCTGCTCGCCCCCCATAACTCTTAAGCCGCCCACGTGTTCCCCTGTCAACACACAAGCCCCTCTGCTTCGCCTCACGCTGGCGCGCGGACCCCCGGTGGGAGGGATTCACTGGGAATGCCGAAGTGAAAGAATGTGCAAGCTTGTTTTCCTACATCCCGTCCCGCGGACAGGAAAAGTGACCAGGACCAGGCGGCAAAACAAAAACACCAAAGTCATCAAAGTCGTCTTCTTACGCACGAAAACAAAAAAACATTGCCAATGCATTAGGAAGTCGGAGGGATAATGCGAGCAAAAACAAGATCTGCAGCTGCGCACAAAATGTCTAAGCCAGCGGAGTCGCACAAATCTACGCTCCAAAGCAAGAAGCTTCGCCGGAACTGTGGAAACGTGCAACGCTGCAGTGTGTCGAAGAGGGATAAACAGACACAGGCGCCATCACGGACGCACAGCTGGTCAGCTCCGCCACCCCAGCCCACGCTAAAGCCAATATAATCCAATCAATTTGGGAGTTATTGATCGCACAAACAACCACCCACGGTATTGAAAACAAGGGGCGGAGCCTGCGTGTTTAAGGAGGCTGAGGTCACGCGTGTCACGGCTCGCTGACATGCAGAGAGAGGCGAGGCTGATGGAGTCACACGTGTAGCTTTTCCACTGATGGCTGCCGGTCTACATTTAAGCAGTGGTTTTTTGGGGGGGGGTAAGTCCCTCTCTCGCTGCAGTTTTGGTTTCTGCCTTTTTGCGCCTCTTCTGCGGTCCATTCAAGACATCGGTAAATCTCTGGGGGGGGGGGGGGGGGGGCGTGTTCGTTTCCGCCGCTGACGGCGACAGGAAATAATGCAGTTTCCTGCCCAGACCTCAAAGTCCAATCTAACGCGGCGGGTTAAGATGTGTCCGGATAACACGCCGTTACATAAGGGCCCATGACAGAACGCACACGCCTCGTACACACGGGACGATGTGCGTTACGCACACAGGACTGCAGAGTGTAAATTGTGGCACGGCCTCCAGGCAGATGAACGGGTCCTGGATGCTCTTCACGCGCTCCTCAGTGTGCGAGCGCGTGTTGCAGAGCCAAAGACTGGGGGCCACGTAGGGGCCGGGCGCCGCCGCCGCCTCGGGCATGCGCGTAACGGATAGCGGCTCAGCCTCATTAGACCGGTCCCCCACGCACCCCCTCCTGTGACATAGGGACGGGTCCAGGCGGAAGACTGTGACTTTGAGCCATCTTGGGGGAAAAGAGGATGAGATGAGAAGAAAAGGATACATACAATTCATCCATCATTCATCCATCCATCCATCCATTATGCATTAACCCCCCCCCCCTCTTCCAATGACTAAAATAAACCATCAAACCTTTAAGAGGTGAGATCATGGGGAGCTTAATTGGGGCTTGGGTGTGACACTGGAAGTAGTTACCGGCTGTGTATGTGAGCGGAAAAACTCCAGAGAAACATTTCCAAAGCATTTCTTTTTCTTTTTAAAGAAGCTCACGGCACAAACTGACCACGGTGGCGTCCTCTGCCCCCCTGAAAGCACGCCTGCCCGACCAGCGTCCTGTGCGGCGCTGCTTTAAACCGCAGGGAGGAGAGGACAGGCGGCCATGTTGCAGGACAGTGATTCCTTTTTTCCCTCTCAGGCATTAATGTTTCCACGGGTTAAATATAGCAGCGCTAGAAACACGCGGGAATAGATGACGGGGGAAAGACCGGCATGTGGACGTGGGGGGGGGGGGGGGGGTAGGGGCCTAGGCGGGTATATTTAAGACGGGTGTCCACCCCCCAACAGCGGCGATATGATGCCGCCGCAAGGTCGATGGGGTTCAAATTGTTTTATGCATTCTACTTATTTGTATTGAAACATCATGGCGGCCATTGAGGCAACCGCTGCTCTACCTAGTACCTCCATTACTCTCTCCTTCCTCTCTCGCTCTCTGAGCCTCAGCTGCTCCATCGTTGGTGTCAGAGTGACAGCAGGTCCGCCGAGGCCCCTCCCCCCACCCTCCCCCACGTGATGACCGGGGCAGCTGGGCCCAAATCACCACAGATCGGCCACCATCGTTTAGGCGGCAGACGGGTGTGTGTGTGTGTGTGTGTGTGTGCGCGTTGGGGGAGAAAGACGCCCGGTGCATCTCTCTCATTAGCGAGCTGAGATGATGGAGCAGCGGGGGGTCGGGGGTGAGGGGAGGGGGAGGGGGGGGGGGGGGGGCATTGTGCCGGCGGTTTCACCTCCCGTTCGACCCCACGGGAGGGAGAGACAGAAACGAGCAGCGTGACACTCGGGTGAGTTTGTCTGAGGCAACCGGGGGAGGAGAGGGGAGAGTTTCTCAGTAACTTTTCACTTTGGTCCGCTCAGCATTTTTAAAAAACAACATTACCCCCCCCCCCCCCTTCCTGAGCTCCATCAGCTGTCTCAGAAACTGCTGCTTTATGTCCTCCATCCTCAGATGGTTCTGACACAGTAAGAGGATTACTGGCACACACACACACACACACACACACACACACACACACACACACACACACACACACACTGTTGCCATTTTCTGATGATGGATTAATCCAAAAACATTCCACCGCTGCAATGTTACGACACGCATTCAGCCCGGCATGGACTACGATGATGACGACGAGGACGGTGATGTAACCGGCAGCTCGTCAGAGGAGGAGGCCGAGCTCCACGACGTGGACCCACACAGGACCAGTAAGACCAGCTGCTCCCGGGAGGAACCTGTATGCAGATGCTGCGAGCGCGCCGCGTTAGCCGAGCCTCACCTCGCGGGACGGGGTCACGCCGGCGTGTTTGCTCGCTCCGTTGTCCCGCGGTGAATCGCTCCAACGCGCCGCCATCATTTCATTCCGCGCCGCAGAGGAGGAAGAAGTCCTTTGGAGACGGCATTGAGGTGAGGGGGGGGGGGGGGGGGGAGGGGTGAAGCCAGCGAAATAAAACAAAAAAGGGAAAGAAGAAGAAAAAAAAAAAGTCCTAATCCACACCGTCCTCCTTCTTCTTGTCCATCAGTGGCTAATATCTGAAAACACAAAGAAGACGTTGGTGAGAGAGGTCAAACAACAACAGTTATTACCGATGAGCCCGTTCGTCCAGGTGTAAACAACAGCAACGTGATGTGCAAGAAGATCACCTGCAATCCACGTGAAACACTAACACGCCGCTAAACGTCACAGGAAAACTCCCAAGTCCTTGAATTCATGATGGACCAGCCTCCAAACTCCAAATGAAGAAAGCTATTAAGGTATTGAACTCTCCAAACGTGCCTGTGATTAATGCCCCTCACACGCTGATATTAGAGCTGAAGACACATGCATCGTTCAACGTGGAAACCAAAGAGGGATGTTATGGTTATTTGTCAGATTGTAAACATTCATTGACCGAACCAATGGATGCATTTGGCTCCAAAGTGGAAAACGGCAGGTGGACGGCCGAGCTTTTTCTTCTCCGCAACCCTTGATGAATAAATAAATATATATATAGAGCGCTGTAATATTATTCGCGCACGTGAGTGGATTAAAAACGGGACGTGCATGTCAAATAAACTCGGAATTCGCAGCTCTCGGTTGAGGTGTGTGTGGGGGATCATACAGCTATTATGAATTAAACCATAAATACCGTACCATAAATATAACCCCCCCCCCCCCCCTCCTGGTTGCGGCTGACAGAGCGTGATCTCACCGGGCGGACGACAGGTTGTTGCCGTGGCGATGACGTTTACATTAATTGCGACCCAAAAAAAGAAAAAGGAAAACCTACCTGATACAAATCCAGAAAAAGTACTCGGAAAAAATACGTCCATTTTCCCGCGGAAGAGTTTAGTGTTCCGTTATAAAAAAAAATTTTTTTAAAAAAGACAACGTGCTCGGTCCAAAGATTCGGGTTAAAGATGAAAAGCGGGTCACGGAGCGGGACGTCGGCTGCGCTCCTCCGCGCGCACTGACCGCTGAGGCTGACTACCTGTTAGGGGAAAACACGCCGCGGGGAGGGGAGGGGAGGGGGAGGAGGGGACGGGGTACACGGTAAACGCCCTTCAGCGTGCATTTCTGTCGTCCGGGAGCTCCGGTAAAAGACAAACAAAAACGAGAAACCTCCGGTCTCCATTCATGTCCCGTCGCTCGCGCCGCTGGAGGAGTCCGCACAGCGACAGCAGCAGCGGGGCAGACGTGTACGCGCGCGCGCGGTCCCCGGTTGGCGGCGCGAGGCTCTGTAGCGCGGATAAGAACGAATCTCCAGGGTCGGAAGGAGGCCCCGCCCATCTGGCGGGGCGTCGTCCAATCCGAGAGGCGGATTGAATTTGGAATTTTGAAGCGGGCCAATTGGAGGCGTTGTTACATAACAGGTTGGTATAAAAAGGAGAGGCTGGTTCCTGCTGGTCGCTGGCTCGTAGGAACTTTGTCTTTTGTGTATAATGAAATGTTAGCGCAGTGGTGGAGAGTAACTGTACCATGGGTGCAGATTCAATAATCCTTCATCAGTCCCACAGAATTATTAGGAAAAGGTTTAGTAGTTATGTAGAAAGTGAAACCTGAGAACATGTTTACATGTACATGTATACACTTAATGTGACATCGAGCCTGTTGGTATTTTAATGTAACGTTTGTCTCTTGTTGTTTGGTTTTTCTTCTCCACTGCATTCCAGAGACATAAATATTCTATTTATTTATTTATTTACTTTATGACATTTTTACACACCTGAACACTTACTAATAAAAATAAATCAATAGTCTCACTTTTCCCGTGCACAATGCATTTAAATAATCAACTGGCTGTGGGCTGATAAACACTTTATTCCCACTCTCTGTCATTCAGCTTCTCCGACCTTTAAAGTGAGCAAATGAAATCACAGGGACATCATTGTGAGGGACGAGGGAGCGCCTCGAGGCCCAACACATATGCTTAGCGCTCCAATTTCCTAACGCTCAACGGGTGAGACATGTTTGCTCATCCATTATCAACTGTAAGAGCGGTGTCCTTAACTTTATTATGGTGACATGTAGGGCATGGCCGGCACATGGGACTCCCGAGCGTGAAAAAAAAAAAAAAAAGGTCTGCACAGCTGATCTGGACAAAGACAAAGGCTGTTCTGTTTGCAGGCTACTCCTGCAGCACAATGGAAGATGGGACAATAGGAGTCTTTTGACCCACACTGTGGCGAGGTTTCCCCGGTTTCAGAGAGGAGCTATTGTCTAAAAAGCTGGTGCACCCTCATCAAGACAATAGAGAACTTAAACCGATGTAAGTGGGACTCTGCAGTATGTGATGGTAGACATGAGGTGCATGTGTATTTAATGCAGTTTAATATACACATACCACACTGTTAATGCAGCGGGAAGGTCTCTCCTGATTGGACATGAAGCGTAATTGTAAAACATTTTTCCCAGCTATTGCTTAAATAACTAACATTTTGATGATGTTTTTCTGCATTACATGTGCGTAAAGAAATTCACAAGCAAACTATAAAAATGTTTTACTGGTTCGATAGCTCATGGGCCAACAGTGATTGTTTTGTGTGCTCCCCCCCCCAAAAAAACAACCTTGGTTCACTCTCCTCAGTGCAGAACACAGAGACACAGATGCAGCGCCGTGTTGTTTTTACGAGTGAGGAGATTGAGATCAAAGCCTACGGAGGAGTTGCAACCCACCGTACAGTGAAACATCCCGTCGTGTAATACACATACTGCTCGTGACTCAAAGTCTCATTGATTGTTTCAGTGTCTTCTATCCAGATGTTTCCAATAATCCATACTACAGTTTTGCATCCACTGCTAATTCCCTCGTACCAAATGTGTTGCAGAGCAACAGAGTGACTCAAACGTCCAGCAGGAGAGAGATTATGAGCTCAGGCGCCGGCAGTAAAATGTTTGGCTGGATTAGGACATCACATGAAGCCCAAGTTCAGAGGACAGGTGGGAAAACGTGCGGGACGAAGCATATTTCCATCAGAGAGGATTCTTAGACCCACAGCTGAGAGCTGAAGAGTGTGACGTTCCCTCCCCTCTCCAGGTTGTATAAGGGGATCTGGCACTGCGTGTGATGACTGGATGAAACCCAGCAGCAGTCAATCTATCGCTCCCTAATTGGAACAGAACAAACACTGCAGTGGATGTTCTTTCCATTTGTGTACCGAGATGCGTCAGTCAAACAGTATTTATTAAGTTCATAACTGGGAATGTAATTTGCTTGGCGTCTGCTGGCCTAAAATCGGTTATGACAAATGTAGGTTTTAATTGAGGGGCCGGTTCATTTTCATCATAAATCCATCAGAAGCGCACGTACAAATGTGTAAACAATGCAGCTTTGACACTGAAAAGATCTGATCTCTGAAAGAATAATCGGTACTGCATTAATCTTCTCATCTATCCTTTAGCAGGAGAGCAAATAGGTCTATTTCCCCAAATGCCAAACTATTCCTTCAAAGCTACAGCCAAGACGGTTGGTTTAGCCTGGCTAAGCTCGCCACGTTTCCCTCAAAAACAGCAAACTGCAATTTCCCAAAAGGTTATTTGTTTGAAGCCAGATTTCTGGAGAAATGGTTTCTGCTCGGGATGTGAAATCTAATCCCTCAGTTCCGTCTCTAACCGCAGGCTTCATATGTCGAATGCGTGAATGTGTTGCCATTCAAACGTACAATTCCCGTTTTGTTCCTTTTGTGCTGAGCGCAGTTTTACCTGCAGCCGGCTTTCTGCGGTCGGCCCCCGTCCTCGGTGTCCCCCGACGGAGCGCCACAAAGGCCGCGGCGAGGCTTTTTGTTCCACCGAACCCTGCATCAAGGTGGAGGACAATGGCCTCTGGGTTCCCAGGGCAGTGCGGAGAGAGGGGGGTGGGGGGGCATCAGTGACGGCATAAGTTAACCACTACCGCCAAGTGCCGATGTTTCATGATAAGGACACACGGCGTTCGCAGCCTGGAGGTACAACGGAGGTCTTTGTGGCTGCGCGGATAGCACCCAACCAAAGGAAAAAGCTGCGTAACCTGTGGAGTTTCTTCTGTCTTGGTTATCTCACTCCTCCGTGCTTTAGGGGTCAAGGACAAGTAATAAAACCTGACGTGAATTTAGTGTTCCTCTAGGTGTATTAGTGGAGGTGTTGTTTACGACCACAGACGGGACACTTGAGGAATCCGAACCTCCCGGCACCCTCCTGTGTTTGCGGCCGCTCGCATTATCCAAACAGCGGCTGGTTTATCGGGCCTTTGACCTGCGGAGAGGCCCGGTGGCCGAAGCTGGCCCGCTAGCTTAGTAAAAACACACAGTTTGCACCAACAAAAATGACTGGAACCACTAAAAGAAGGTCGGTGTATATTTCAAAATATACACCGACCTACCAAGGCCTGCGCACGGAGCAGGGAGACTGATCAGTGCACCACCCTTGTGCACCATCTAAATGACAAATCTTTACACTGTAGTAAAGTGTGTGTGTGTGTGTGTGTGTGTGTGTGTGTGTGTGTGTGTGTGTGTGCGTTCCCGTTGTGCGATGTGACGGCTGTTTGGAGTTTTAGGTGATTAAGACGCAGGAGTGCGTAGCCACATGATAACGCTGCCCGAGTGCACGCTGCGTGAGGTGAAGCGTGTTCTGGTCTGTTTGCCGACACGCACAATTGACTCTCTTCGTCGCCCCCACAATGGCAACAGAACATACAAAAGGCCCGTGTGTGTGTGTGTGTGTGTAGTTATAATGATATCTAGATCTTTACTTCGAGCCGTCTCCCCCTGAGATCAAGGACTCAGACTGTAATTGCAGCACAACGAATATTGTGATAACGTGACAGTTTATGTGCGTTTCGCTGAAACGCAGAGATTGCTTATTTTAAATCGTATTATCGGAATCCTTTGACGAAAGAAGGATTTGAATAGATTTGACTTTTAAAACGTTACCTAATCAAATAAATAAAAAATACAATTTACCTAAAGGAGCCAGTTTTAATAGGTCACATCTTTGAGTTTGCATATAAAAAAGTTCACAATCAACAGACATATTTTTTTTTTACAAAATCCTCATGTATTTCCAGTCGGGGCTGATTTAAGTTGTGAACAAACAGACACAGGGTGGCGAGGAGACGCTGTGTGTTTTCCATGAGTCAGAGGGGGCGTCATCCGGGCACAGCGATGCCAACGTCCATAAGCTGCCTCCATCTGTCACCAGCAGTCCTCTCCTGGCGGCCAGCGTGGCCTCCGTTTTATTCATCCATTGCTTTGTTCCTGCTTCAGTCAGGAAAAAAACGCAGAGAGAAAAACGTAAAGGCCTCCAAAACAGGTCTCCATGTCCAACACAAATAGACATTTACGTTTACTCTCCAGCCAGAAACTGTGCGTTACTTCTCAAACCTTGTACTTCATCTTCCCGATCTTGCTGATGACGCAGATATGCTGAGAGAGGAAGAGAAATCAGCGTGCGTAATTTCAGATTACACCGAAAACGTTGCATCTGATGACAAGAAAATATTTGTTCTACCCCCCCCCCCCCGGCCCTATGGGGAGTTCCAGTATGTTCTCAACATGTTATATGCGGTACAAAAATATGTAGCCCGCAATCATTTCAAAGCAGGAAAGGTAATCAAAGTTATGACACATTCATTAATCTAACTTTGGGCGTCACAAAGGTTCAACTCATATTTCTTCGGTCGGATAAGGAGAGATAAGAAGGGAAGCTTTAACCCTGGCCGATAATGAGACACTAACCTCCACATTCCACAGGTCGCCCCCCCCCCCCTTTCCTAACTTTCGTACAGAATACCAGCCCCCTCCAACACACACACACACACACAACCGTACAGTACATATATTACACACACACACACTATGGGAGTCGGTCCTGGCATCGTGTTCCTCATGAATCAGAGGTAGATTTGAGGCCACATCTTCACATAAGAAGTTCACATAAGTTTACGCTCACTAATTTTCAGGCTGAGAAATCTGGCATGAACTAAGGTGTCATGGGTGCAGCAAAGAAAAGATTGGTTGCACTCCTGGCGCAAATGTCGTGGAGGTTTAAGACGGGTTTGAGGCACCAGGGAAATGTTTAGAGGAGAAAAGACAGACTTTCTTTTCGGGAGGAAAAAGGGGGATGATTTATTTGCTTGGTGGAGGAATGTAAAAATAAGAGAAGAAATGGTGAAAGTGATCATTTCACTTTGACCCCAGTAGGTTTTTCATGAGGGCTAAAACCTGAGCTAAATGCTAACACCGGCACACGGACATAGCTGGCGTGCTGATGCTTAGCGGCTAATGTTCAGCGTCTGAGTTTAGTGTGCTAGCATGCTAACATTTGCTAATTACTAGCTGTACTACATACTAGCTGTAGTAAGTACAGCTGGGTCTGTCACAATATTAGATTTTCAATACAGCAATAAGAAAAAGCATGATGGTGGCCACAATAATTGCAAATAACAACACTATCATCACTGTATCTATAGAAAATCAGACGAAATAAAATTGGTCACCCTGACAGAGATATTGGATTTGAGCTGCTCTGCCCTGCTGCAGAGCACAGAGTTTACCTGTCGGGTGAGTTTGGCTTTCAGCTGGTCGAGCGCATCACCTTTTGTTGCTGTGTTTACCCCTCCACTCCCTCGGGCCTCTTTCATCTCTTAGCTCTGTTAAAGGTCACGTCCGGGTGCAGCGGGCGACTTACGTTCAGGTCGCGGAAGTACTCGTTGTAGTCCAACGCATAACCAACAACAAAGTGGTTGGGGATCTCAAATCCAACATCTGTCAGAGCAGACAACGACAAAGAGGAGCATGAGGAGCATCATCTCTGACATTTATGTGAGGTAGAATGATGTAAAAAATATATCTTTATGCCAACATCTACTGTGAGATCCCAGAAATCTGTACTTTCCCAACAATAGAGAGGATGATGCTACAAAGCACGTTAACTCTGACGTCTCAGCTGTTCGACACAGCTGCTCAAAACCAGAATCCACACGGTCAACGGATCAGAAATTATGAAGAACACAGAAACACTGGGAGCAAATAAACCTGCTGTAAGCACACAGAAGCAACAATGAGAGAAGAATGGATGACATGGAAACCCGGGGTACTTACAGTCCGTCAGATCTTCTGCCATGTTGGGGACCCTCTTCACCAGCAGACTGAAACGCATGAAACATCGAGTTAGTTTACAAAATGCAACAGTGGAGAAATGCACTAACTAACCACGTCCTTAACTGTAGTGTTTAAAGGTATTACGGATTGTTGCTTCACTGAATTTGAAAAATGTCCCTGTGAGAAATACCAGAGTTCTAGCCTCCAGCTATCCAACACGCAAACACATAAAGAGCCCTCCACATACAGCAGAGGAGGAAACGCCTTCGACATGTGCCAGATGTTTATCTGCATAGGAGCGGCACGAGGACACGAGACGGCGACTTGTGTGAAGTGATATCTTCTTCAATTTGTCACACGCTTGGCATTTCCCCTGGTGGGGAAAACACAGAAGACCGAAACACTGCCTCACCCCGCGACCTTGACCATCTTGGGTTCAAAGGTCTCCACGTGCTTCAGAAGGGCCTTCATGGTCTTTCCTGTGTCAACTATGGCCTTGGGGAAGGGAAGAGCAAAGGGAAACGGAGAGATGAAGACCTTCTGAGTGAGGAATGCTTTGAAGGAGGAGGAGAACAGTGGACAACTGACACGATATCTAAAGGCCTCCCCTTCAAATATTTCACAAATAAAACATGATTTCAAAGAGAGGCAACTTTATTGTCCTGTGCTTTTGTAGACAAAAAAAAGAACAAGAGCCACTCACCTCAACAATGAGCACACTCTTTGTTAACATGAGGAAAGAAAGAAAAACGTCATGGATTAAAAGCCGGGTTGTTTCTGTGAAATGTACATTTCTTACAGAAAGTATCCATAGCAACAAAGTCATTACTCTCTCCTCGCCAGTAATGAACATCTGTGTCTGTAGTGAGGAAAAGTCTCTTCTGAGTGTCCGGGTGTTGCACACTTTCCCTTGCCGCTGGGTTTCAAATGACTCCTTGTTCCCTTGGCAGAGTGTGTGGGGCTCTTTGTGAGACCGCTGGAGAGTATCTATGGTTCGGGGAGAGTGCTTGGAGAAAATGTAGGCGCCCGGCCAATGTTCTCTCGGTCCACACCTGAACACTCTTGCACAACCCAGCAGTGAGTAAAAAAACAGCGAGCTCAAACGTAACCTGTCATGCTGCAGGAACTGGGCATTGGAAGTTATTTGACCGAGCAAAGCGTCATTGTTTGGGGATTTATAGTTCTGCCGGGATCCCTGGATCACAGCTCAATGCTGACTGGTAAAAACGTGAATATACAACTTTACGAAACCTAGTTAACACGATTGGAACAGAAAACAACAGGCAGAATTAATGCAGTACATGAAGATGCACTGTTAATAAAGTGGCGCATGGTTCTACAATAACGGATTATGTTGCGCGCTGCTGTTTCAACCTGTAAAACACCGTCTGTGTGATCAGGGCCTGCGAGTCTATGCCAGTGTTTATGCTAATGTCATGCATGCTAACACGGTGAGAAGTCACGTCTCCATAGATACTCTCCACTGTGCTTTCTTCTTTTTTTCTGTTGGTTTCTTTTGTCTGCTCGTTTCACTTAGTTTTTTGCCTGGTTTTGTTCTTGTCTGCCTTTGTGTAGCTACTTTCGGTCCCTAGAAAAGCGCTGATGTGCTGCATGAGGAGTCAGGAGATTGTTAAACTCCTTGTGAATCATCCTCTGGGGAACACACGAAGGTCTGTGCTGAACGGCTCATGGCTCATTGTTGTTGAGATATTTCAGTTACTTATAAACAAGTGGACCAAACAGACGGCATTGCTCCCCTGAATCTCTGCTGCAAACGGGCTCAAAACATTAAATGTGCACATTTCAGGCTCAATTGAAAATGACTTCATTTCTTTGTGGAATCAAAGGGCTCTATGAGTCGCAGGCAGCAACAGAGCTGCGTTACCATAGCAACGCTTTGGAGGAAGACGATGAGTAGAGAGTCACGACCGCGTGAGAAGCGTTCGAACCGTGACTTGCGCTCAACGAGGGCAGAGAGCACGCCGCCCTCCTCTTCAGCCGATTGATAGGAGGAGGAAGAGGAGCACTAATCTGCCCGGAGATGTGACTCAACGAGGTAAGAGGAGACGACTCGGGAGTGATGCATGTGGTCAGTGCACGGCGCCGGTCACTCTGTTTTCACTCCCGTTGACCTTTTCCGCCCAGCGGGACCTCGACACACGCTGACATCTCAGTTGGGAACTCAGGCATCAGTCTTTTTTTTAAAAAGAAAACGCTCGCGGGCGCATTCAGGCAGCCAGTCAGCTGTGTAAACAGTGTCACGCCAATCTCAGAGAATAATGCAGCGAGAAGGGATTATTCCTGCAGTCACTAAATCTGCTTTGTGGGAACTTTTGTTTTCCTGAAATGGCTGATTCATGACCGGACCACTTTAAGAAAGTGACGCTCACAACGTATCCTGGCGAGTTGCGCGGAGAAAGCTGAGAAAGTCGAAGTGGAGGAGTTCGGTCTGGTGGAGGTTATGTTTTGAAACAGTGTCGTATAACAACCACGAATGATACATCTTATTGTTAATACATCTAAATGCTGACAAAGAGAACATTATCCTTTACACACACCTTTCCGCGCAGGAAAGACAGATCTCGGCTTCCTATGATCTGCAGCTCCTCTGTTGATTGGTCGTTCTGAGGAGGAGAAGACAATGAGGATGATTATAGAGAATTTGTAATAAGCGATAAATGAATGCAAAACGTGTGCAGTTTCGAGTCAATCGCCCTTCCTCGGCGGTGTGTCAGCGTGAGGTCACCATGAGACCATCACTCTCTTTGGAACGCCGAATGCACAGAAGGAGAATTACTGCTCAAGTACAACGACAGTGAAATATTAAACGCTTAAACAAGCAAACAAAGCCAGACTCTCTCTCTCTGTTCCGGCGGCAAGCGGAGGGGAGCAGAGAGCTTTGAAGGGCCTCGGCTTTGAAGTTCACTTGGCAAAGCGGAGCAGCGGCATGGACAACATGGGGGGCGGGTCACATGACTCCATCCGTGCGATTGAGTCCCAGCGCCGCCACTCAGACACCGGCCACTAGCGCAGTGTCTTCACTGGGATAAATACAACTTGTTACAACGTTCTACAGGTACATGCTGTGCTTTGGGTGAGAAAAATCTCAAATATCCTGCTTTTAAGAAAGAGTGGGACATTATAATGAACTCGGTGTGGTTAAAATGTCCAGGCAAGACCAAAAAATAATCCATAATCAAATCAAATGTCCTCAGCTACTTAAACCTCTGGGACAAACAGCGGATCCTCCCTTGTGCTCCAAAGGGAGCGAGGGAATGTGAGAAACGTAAATCACATCATTTGGGATTTCCTGCGCGCCAAAACACACCCAAGAATAATACCAAGTGACCGTGGAGCGAAGCGTCATCATTGTAAACATTCCTGTATTGTTACTGGCTTTGTACATTCCAGGTGTTAGACGGGGTCTCCAGCTGTTTGTCTTGGCAGAGGGGCGTCTGTGACCTGAGCTCTGCAACCATTCGACCTTGAAACGTCTGACACAAACTTCTCTTTCTCTCACTAAACAGAAGCAACTGCGCCCTCTGGTGGCCGACGGGGAGACTGCGTCACATGTGGGACGTTCCACGGGGGGGGGGAGGGTCTTTGGTGGATTTACCAACCAAATCTGATCTGCAGCAACCTGAATGAAAATAAAACACAAAACAGTAGAGATCACCTACTAAGTAGCTCTTCAGACGGATGAACTCCACCCGGGTCTCCAGGTACTTGTTGGAGTTGCGGCCGAGGACCTTGATGAACTCCACCAGGTCCACACAGAACTTGTAGCCTCCCTTCAAGACGCACAGCACCACGATGCTGTCCCCAAAGTCGTCCATGACGTAGCGCGCCAGGCGCTCCACCCTGCAGGGGAACAGAACACACATCAAGACAACAGACCGGGGGAGGGTTCATTCAACCTCCTCACACGTGTGTGTTGATGTGGTTACGTTACCTGTTCATGATGACCCCATGTGGTATGTAAACACTGTCTATGTCTTCATGGTAGTGTTCAGGGTAAGAAAACAGCTCCAGGCTGTAACCGGGCCAGTCGTCTGGTATCTGACGGACAGCTGACTCTTAGTACAGAACTCTGGGCGTTTGACTGGATTCTGATTTATACTGCAGGACATCATGTGGACCGATTTGAAAACCTAGAAATCCTGAAAACTAAAACTCAAAGCAATTTGGTATTTTTAAATATTTTTTAAGGTAAGATAATCTGACCACATTTTCATTGGTTTTCTGATGTCGCCACAATTTATACACAGCTAATGAAAAGCTCAAACACTAAACTATTAGTACTAATATTCGACTGACTTTAGCCTCATTCAATGCCCCTTAGAGCAAATAAAAAGCTTGTAGGTTATTTAAAAGCTGCTTACTAACAAAATAATTTCTCAATGACTTCAGGGAAATAATTCAGGGAATCAAAAACATGTTAATCAGCTGCGAAATAATTACACAGAAATAGCAATCATTCAATGTTGATACATAAATAATCTTTGCGCTGAAAATACCACAATTGGTTTTTTGATGACTGCGTCGTCCATTTGCGGTCGTGTTGTTCACCGGCGTCACAGCTCAGGATGGGAAACAGCAGTGACCTTCAGTGGACACACACACACACACACAGAAATAAATAATAATAGTAAATGAAATCATTCCAAGCGTTCCGTCTTCACATGAAATGTCGCAGCGCAGGAGAAAAGACTCCCGGACTCTTACAAACAGTACTTACAGTTCGGTTCTTCCCAGCGAGCGCTGACTGAACAGAAGGAGGGGAGACTGAGCCACGCGGGCCCGTGGATCACGCTGCACTCGTTTGCGTGAAAGCACAGCGTTGTGTTACTGGAGGAGGGTTAAGGGGATAATCGGCTGCATGTGATGCTTTGCAGGCTCGTGGCCGCATCACGGGCCACTGCAAGAGAACTCAAAATAAGCTTTCACAACCAATAGTTAGTGGATTTCAATCAAGTACATTTTATTCAGTCTGAATTGAATAGATTTTAACGGACACGTTTTTTTCTTTTCCATTGATAAAGCAGGAAGGTGAAAAGAAAGAAGGCATGAAGACACATTTGTTTTCATTCATCTGACATTTAATATGAATGATCTTAGAAGATAAATGGAATCACACTTTTTTCCTTTAAAAGAGTTCAATAATACAATAGTGGTCAATCTAAAGACTGTAAAACATCTCAGACTATTAATGCTGTTCTAAATTATATAATTTTAAATTATGGGAATAATTCCTAAATTTGCGGTTCACAGTTTTATCTTTGCTTCATTGTTCATGTGACAGAGAGAACACACAAGTATAATTCTCCTTTTCTCACACTCATGTGACATTTGATTGCCGATCTCAAGACACGCGGCACATCTGATTGAAACCAGCACTTTATTTCTGAGGTATGTAGATGGTCTTGAACCTCTCAAAGAGCTCGATGTCGTCCTCCAGCTGCTTCATCGCCGCTTCCAGCCGAAGCCTGTGGGACTTCTTGGACTGGGTGTCTGCGACGAATGAGAGGCCCTGGTACTCGTGGTGCAGCTCATCCCAAGACTTCTTCAGACCCTGCACGGAGAATCCAGACAACATAATCAGCCCGGCAATGTTACAGTCAGGACCATGATCCCACTAAACCGTTTTACCTTGAGCGTGGCTGCTCGCTCCTCCTCACTCAGGTGCTTCATAGCTCTCTTCTCCCGCTGTTCTTTCACAAAGTCGTCGCGCTTCTCCTGAGCTCTCATCTCCTCTTCGTGGAGCCGCCGCAGGTACTGGGGCACTTCTCCGTAATGCTGTGAACAGGAACCGGAAGCTTAGAGCATGTAGTGGACCGGATGAAATATGAAATCAACGTCCGCAGATAAGATGATTTAATCAATAGAAATCGATGTGTGTTCTTGTCTTCGGTGATGGAAAGAAAAACCTTCTTCTTGATGTATTTGGGGACCAGTCCAGAATTCTCAAGGAGCTGCTTGTGTCCCCCCCGGCTGTCCACACAGGCCGGCCGGGGCTTCATTGGCGCCGCTGCAGCGGTCCTTATGAAGTCTCTCTTGGTGTGAATGCCCATCGGCGGCTTGTCTGTCCTCGCCGGAACGGGGGGTTTCTTCAGAGCGGGGGTGTGACGAACCTCTTTCGAACCTTGTGTCTCTGTAAGTAAATATAAATATGAAATTAAACACCTGCACCGAGATGAACCCACACATTGTTTGAGGAGAACTCACTTTCGTGTAATTTGGGCTCTTTTGAATGCTTCTTGAGGTATTTATCTGCGGAGGGGACTTCTACCTTTGCCGGTCCCATCGTCCTCATTGCATCCTTTGCTGCCTTTTCCTCAAGAAGAACTGTTGGTCTATACTTGGACATATACCTTCACATATACGAGAGAAAAAAATATAAATGTATTTAATTATTTGTTAATATCCAGTGCCAAATCCTGACAGAAGTCACTCATATTCTCAATCACCAATACTCATAAAAGTATAAAATGTGTACACAATTTAGAAGAAGCCTATCCATATACCAAACGTTAAACTGCTGCCTACCAACTTTTTTTGTTATCGTTATTTACGCTAAGCTAGGCTACATCAACGTTACCTTTGCGGTTTTTGAGAATGAACCTTTTCCTTCGGAATCACGTTGTAGACGACCTCAGGTGGATACACAAGGTCCGACATCTTGAGCCACTTTAAACACTAAAAATACACATAAACTGAGGTAAACTAGCGAGATTAGTTAACTCGACCGAACTACCGTTAGCTAGCACCGGTTAATCGTGGGTTTGTTTGTCAACACTAGTCCACCGGGATAGTTGCCAGGCAACTGCTGCGACGAAAGCTGCATTTCCGGACAGTTGTAAAGTGATAATGCCGTTTCCACAGATAATCAGCTGCCACCTACAGAAAATGTTTCAGGATGTCTTCAGCTATTCATTTCGTCTCTGTTTTGATGCCGTGGACTATCAGAATAATAACATCTATATTTCCAATCGCGCTTTCTGACTTCTGCTCCCTGAAGTCCAACTTTCCCAGGAGCCTTTGAATGCAGCACAAAAATCACAGATGCGGGACTGGTGGAGCGATTTGGTCGTAACAGCTGTACGCCTGTGGTTACATTAAAATATATATGTATGTAATAGGATATGGGTTTATAATATGAAATGTAATATTATAAGGCAAGGTGTACACTGGTTTGCCTTTGACTTCTCGTCGAAGGCTCGTCTATTTTGTCCCTGCGGGCTGGCCGTAGATGTCCGTGCACGCAGTGGCTGTAAAGCGTGTGTCACAACCCGACATGCTGAACTAAAACCAACCGAGTTGTGCTGAAAGTTTCAAGTACGGAAACGATACGCGTGAGTGTGTTACTTTTCGTGAGGAGTCGCTAAGTCAAAGTGACCGCAGTCACGTGCACACACAGTTGACGTCATACACAGTGGATGCCTTCAGCGCCTTTTCTAATCACGACCAAGTAGTCCACATTTTTTATTTTTAAACAGTATTTATATATATAAAATAAAGTATATACTTTATTTTTAAAGTATATAAGTATATTTTAAGAGTCCCTGTTGTGAACAGGAGCAAAGGAAAGTCCCCTCGATGGGTTTGCTAGATGCTCTGAGAGCTGCGAGATGTTGCCTGAATCCGCTCTCAGCGCGCCGGTCGTGGCTCTCCACCAAGGCCTCGCCACCCGGGGACCAGAACATCCTGCTCATGGGCGCTCCCGGCGCCGGGAAGACCACGGTGGGGAGGATAGTGGCCCACAGACTGGGACTGCCCGTCGTCGACGTCGACGACGACGTCTTGGAGACGACGTGGAAGATGCCCGTGGCCTCCAAGCTGGCGGCGGTTGGCGGAGAGCGTTTCGTGGAGGAGGAGGGCCGGGCGCTCTGTAACTTCTCCGCATCGGGGTGCGTCGTGTCCCTCACAGGCTCCAACCCTCTCCACGCCGCGGCCATGCGCCGCCTCAAAGAGTCCGGGCTGGTAGTCTACCTGGACGTGGACAGCGAAGACGTCATGCGGAGGCTCGCCGGGATGAAGGTGAACAGAATCGTGGGTCAGGAGGCCGGAGTGTCCATGCGGGACATCCTGCGCTACAGGAAGCAGTTTTATGAGAAATGGCTGGATGTGCGGGTGCTGTGCGGCGCTGGGGCCACGGCGGAGAAAGTGGCGGAGAAGGTGCTGAAGGCCGTCGCCAGGTACCGCGACCACGCCGCGGAAACCTTCGTGTCGACCAGGAGCGACGCCGCGGCGGCGTCCGAGGGAAGGAAGCGCTTCAGCGACGTGGCGATCGAGGGCCTGGCCGCGGATGGAGGCCTCTACGTCCCCAAAAGGGGCTTCCCCAACATGGACGCCGGCGAGTGGCGGAGGCTGGTCGACATGTCGTACCCGGAGCGAGCGCTGGTGCTGCTGGAGCAGTGCATACACCCGTCGGACGTCTCCGCCCCGGAGCTCAGGAAGATGACCTTCGAGGCGTACGGGTCGAACTTCTCCAGCGAGGCCGTGGCGCCGGTGAAACACCTCGTCGGCAATCAGTACGTCCAGGAGCTTTTCCACGGCCCCACCGCCTCGTTTAAAGACCTCGCCTTGCAGCTGATGCCCCGGCTCTTCGCCCACTGCCTCCCGCCGATGTGCAACTACCTGGTCCTGGTGGCCACCTCCGGGGACACGGGGAGCGCGGTGCTCAGCGGCTTTGGCGGCCTCGGCGGCGGCGGCGGCGCGGACCCGCACAGGACCGGGGTGCTGGTGTTCTTCCCCGAGGAAGGCGTGAGCGAGACCCAGAAGCTGCAGATGACGAGCCGCACGGAGGGCAACGCCAGGGCCGTCGGCGTGCTGTCCGACTTCGACTTCTGCCAGCGGAGCATCAAGAGGATGTTTGGGGAGTCGGGGCTGACGGGGCACCTCGCCGTGGAGTACGCCACGGTCCTCAGCACCGCCAACTCCATCAACTGGGCGCGGCTACTGCCGCAGGTGGGGTTGATCATCGCACAAAAATCACTTTCTGAAGTTGCTCTTTGAATTCCGCATCGCACACGTTTGTTTGACGTTTTGTCCGCCCTGCAGGTGGTCTTCCACTCCTCAGCCTATCTGGATCTATGCAGAGACGGCGTCATCAAGTTCGGGGACCCCGTTGACGTCTGCATCCCCACGGGTAACTTCGGCAACGCCATGTCCGCCGTGTACGCCAAGCAGATGGGCGTCCCGATCAGAAAGGTCATCTGCGCGTCCAACCACAACCGCGTCGTCGCGGACTTCGTGGCCACGGGCGAGTACGACCTGCGCGGGCGACCTCTGGTGCCCTCCTACTCCCCGGCTATAGACATCCTGACGTCCTCCAACCTGGAGCGGTTCGTCCACCACGTCTCGGGCGGCGACGGCGCCCTCGTCAAGGAGCTGTTCGCCGGCCTGGACGGGCGGCGGCGCTTTCGGCTCGGCGGCGCCCTCCTCGGCAGGATGCAGCGAGAGGTGGCGGCCGGCTGGTGTTCCGAGGGCGACTGCTTGGCCGCCATCCGGGACGTGCACGCGCAGACGGGCTACCTCATGGACCCGCACACCGCCGCGGCCAAGGCGGTGTGCGACGCGGTGCAGGACGGCTCCTGCCCCGCGGTGCTCTGCGCCACCGCCCACTACGGGAAGTTCGCTCCCGCCGCGTTCCAGGCCTTGCGGCTCCGGGACGTGCCGGAGGATCCCGCGGAGCAGCTGAGGCGGCTCGGGTCGACCGCGTCCGCGCCGGAAATGCACGGAGGCCTGATGGGGTGCCTGGAGGAGACGGGCCGCGGGCCGCACGCCGTCCGCCAGGCGGATTACGGCGTGCTGGTTGAAGAGGTGGAGAGCATGATACGGGACTCCTTCTTGAAGGTCGTGTAGGATCACGTCCTCGTCGCTCTGCCAATGGACGTGACACTTTCGAGCTAATTTGAGATTTAATAGAGAAATATATCTGTAATATTTTAAGAAATGAACAAAGGGTCATACAAAGTATTAGAAATGTGTCATTTCAATCCAGCCTGAAGGATTAAGTTAAAAACAACAACCACACATCCATTCTGTAATAGAGCTCTAAACTCATTTTAAAGCTAATTGATTATGCAACATCTCTTCACAGCATTAGCCAGAGCCCCGGCCCACTAGATGGGGATGTCTACCTCTTGGCCACTGGCTGCTACAGTAAATGTGGATTCCTGTTGGCGGGGAGGGGGCGTTAATTACCAGCCAAGTCTGAAGGTCAAATAATCTAGTAAATAGCTTTGCCGGATCAATACCTGCAGTCGGGGGGGGGACATCCTCTCTGAGATGATTCTACGCCGGTGCATCGTGGTGCGACCGGACGGATTTGCCGCGCGATGATTGATGTTTAATGATTGTATAAGAAAGGCTTCGTTTAAATCACCTTCTTTCTCGTTACTCAAACTCTTCCCCGCTGACGTGAGCACGGATGCCGGGTTATGAAAGCTGCGCGGGCGGATCTCGCGGCGGCATTAAAACGCGGCTAATGATCGGCGCTCACGGTCCACTAATTGCCATCGGGAAGCTGCAGCATCTGGTCCACTCATCGAATCGGAGTCCGCTGAAATCATTAGCTACCCGACTGAAGGTAGAAGGGCGGTTATTGTTTCATTAAAAAGAAAAACCTTTTGAGCCTCACCGCTTCCTCTCTTTCGTGAGCTCCTCGGCCGCTAACGTCCAGGAACTTTTATTCTTCAATAAGACCGTTAAAGTTCTCTTAAATTCTTTCAGAATAAACTTTTGTTGGTCTTAGTTTAGTTTAGTTTAAGACGACCGAGTTGGGTTCAAGAGAAGATATATAGAAATGTGTGGTGTGTTTCGAGCTTTCCGCCTCATCCGAGCCACGTTGCACTTATTTGCCCGTCAGAAGACGAATCCCATAATGGGAAACACAGTTGGCCTGATGGTAATTTTCCACCATCCATAAGAGGAGAGACGACTCCCGTCTCTATGGCGATAGGACTCATCTAAAGCAGGTGCAGCCTCAGCAGCAGCAGGAGGAGGAGGACCACTTTTCATAGACCTCCAGGATCACTTGTGATTGCAGTTGATTTTCCTCAATTTGTATTTCCAGGCCGTCTTTTATTTCTTGTTGCAGAGAGAACAACAGTATCACAGCGAGAAATAACAAACAACAGGAGTCTTTTCTTTATCTTGGATGATCAGAGACACACGCGTGAGAACAGGAAGCGTCTCTGTGGTTTGAAGCAATCAGTTCCTCCTCACAGACCTGAAGAGAAGTCGACATTAATCACAACTCCTCGCTTTGAATCGGCTCAATATTTCCCAATCACCCCTTTGACGCACTTGGGTTTCCATCCTCCCTCGATGACCGGTCGCTCTTCCTTTTGCCGCGCAGGAACACGCGTCACGCGGCGGAGGCCCCCGCCGTGCCGACGCGCTGCTGCGTCGCTCCTCGCCGGCGTGTCTGCGGTTTGCTTCGCTGGGAGCTTTTGGCCTCATGAAACAAGCTGCTCGGCAGGTGAGTGTGAGGAAAGAGTGCGATGTGAAAGGGAGAGCCAGCTGTTGCTCAGCACCTAGTGGCCCACGGATGAGCGAGCACGGATAATTGCAGGTACCAGCTTGTTTCCCCATCTCCTCAGCGTGAACCTGTGGCACGATGGAGAGGAGAGGAGGAAGAGAGAACGCGCTGGGGAGGAAGATCCGCTGAAGCGAGTTGATTTCGAGCTTCTGCTTCTTGGCGTCCTTCTTTTTTGTTTGTGGTTTTTATGAGGAGTGTTGGCCGTCACTTTGGTGTTTTCTGGGTTTCACTGTGAACGTGAAGACATGAAATATACTTAAATCATTTCTGCCAAGTTAGATTTATCTCATTCATCTAAAATTAAGTGGTATTAAATAGTATTAAAATGTAGGTACGCCCACTTTCTCCCGCTTGTTGTCGTGGTTACAACAGGGTTTGCAGCCAGTTTAATTTCTTCTCCTTGCACAGGTTGAAAGGACGGATCCATATTCTTTTATCTATTCTAGTGAGTTTCAAATTGCACATACACCTTTGCCCATAATCGAGAAGGCAGACGTGGCGTGAGAGCTGATAAGCATTGCGTGTGATTGCTCATGGGTGTGGCCAACGTCCCACGTCGGCGAATGCAGCTCACAAACCAGATCAGACAGTAAAGACTCTTCTTTGGTGGCTTTTCCAAACCTTTTCTTTCACTGGCAACGTGCGACGGGGATATTGTCATTTTAAATATACTGAATCAAATACATCATTCAATATGCATCATGCATGTTTTACATCTCAAGGCTGCCAGGTTTCCAGAAAGCTACAAAAGACTTGACTTTAATGCCCTTAAAGCGAAATAAGGCCCTCCGCAAGTCTGGTCAATTGGTTTCAGTGGATCTGTTCCGTCCCGTGGCGCTTTGAATCCATTCTATTTCAGAGGCTTCTCCCCTCCTGCCAAGAACAAAACCCACAGGGGGGGAACTGGGAATCTTTGGCTGCCTTGGCACTGAAAATCATCACACCAATAAATGCTGGCATGAAATACTGGCACCGAACGTGGGTTCTGAAGTAGAGGTAAAACACTCGCCCACCACTGCAGAGACCCTGACTCGAGTCCTTGACGGCGGCGCGTCCAGCTCACATCTTCTACAAGTCCCAATGTCAGAGGATGAAACGGATTCAAACACACTGTGATACACAGCACTCGGCTACGGCTCGTATTTGTATTTGTGCTACACGGCGTTTTACAACTTCTCAGTGTCGTTGACGATATCCCAGGGTTTGTGACCTTATGACCTTTCCTCATGAAACTGCACGAGGAGTTTTCCGTTCTCAGATGTGATTTGGTTTTCCTCTGTGATCAGTGTTCTCTTCTTTCTCCCCGCAAACCCCCCCCCCCCAATTTGCACCCCGACATCCCTCCGCGACGAAGAGGCGGGGACAAAAAGGAGCACTCACGTAGGCGTCAAACAGCCAGAAGATGATTGTTATTGGATTGAATTAGTTTGCATTGCGGAGGAGCCGCTGGCGCCCGTCTGCTGCCTACAGAGGGGAACAAAACCACTGACGGCTCCTGGAAGCGGCCACGCTTGACGGACGCCTCCGTCAGGAGGAGGAGGAGGAGGAATCGATGACCTCGCCGGGGATCTATGTGGAACGAGATGGGAGCGTGGGTCTCTGGGGGGAATCCTGGATTTGACGACCGACTGACGGGGGTCAACCGCCTGGGCTCGGGGGTGTGAGACTGGCCCTCAAGGACCACAAAAGGCCCCTTTTTATGACCTGAGAAGTGTGAACGCATCAGACATGTTGTATTTTAACGAGTGTTTAATCGTTGTGTGATCGTGAGGTACCTCGACAGTGTGTGATTGCTGCAGACATCAGATCCTCCACAGTAACAAAGTACAGCGTAAACCCCCCACCCCCCCCTATATTTTCCCATTTGGTAGTCATACATTTTAAATGCCACATTATTCAAAACTGAATGTAATTAAGCCGCTCCACAGTTTGATGTCGTACGTCTCCGACTGGCAGCACATTAACATTAAGAAGCCAGCGCGCATGCAGATGGTTCACACCTGGAAAGGAGGTGCCATGTCCACCTTCGTCACTGTCACCATCCCCGTGACTGATGTTCTGTGGTTCTTTCATTTCCATCTGTGCAGCATTTGGAAAGCACCAACATGGACAGAGAAAGACCAGCGGGAATGCAGTTTGGTTTAGGGAAGGAAAATGATTGGAATATAATATAGGGACGTAATTCTCATTTTGAGCAGATTAATGCTTCGGTTTACGCTCAATTTAATGGTTAAAATAAATATTTTCTGCAGAGAAATCCTTCCCGCTGGCTCTTCAACGGGAAAGACAAAGTATTTCATCCATGCTGCATCTAAGTAATGAACCCAGAGGCTCAAAGACGGCAATCCTACAGATATGAAAGACCGTTTTACTACTACGAGGACTCAAAGAGGCAGATTGACTCTGTTTAAAATCTCAAAGACCTCTTCTCTCTCGGTCATGACGTCCACGACGTCTTGGAGGTTGACTCTGGGCTCCGTCGCCCTCCGTCACGCCTGTCGTCCTCGCCCTCCACCCAGGACGAGATGCCTCTCGCCCACACGGCGTGACGTGACATGCCCTTACACCCAAGAAGGAGGGGGGGAGACAGGGAGGTGCAACCGTGGGGCTTGATAAGTTCAAGCCCCACGAGAGCGAGAGAGACTGATAGAACGGGGACAAAGACCCGACAGTGCCGCTTGCATCAGTTCATTACAGACAAGTAGAAAAGATTTCCATTTGTCTCCATTTTTCTTTTGCTGGATGACTGGATGAAAAAGTTCAGGGCTTTAGAAAGCAAAGCGTTACTAAAGTTTTATTTGCCAATTCGTAAGGCAGAATGTTTGAGTTGAAGCTGAGTGTGTTAGTTTGATCTCAACTTGCTTTTATGCACATGATCATGAAAACTTAATATTGTAGATAAATATAGACATTTCCATGAGAAGTATATGATCAGGGGTTTTCCCATGATGCGGCCATTGCCACCTTTCACCTTACAAACAATAAACTGAGGCCCCAACCATCAGCTTACTTATACTTTCTATCTTGTACTCTTTGGGCGAACAGTGCTGCGTAGAGCCGTATTTAATGGAAAGCGAGTACCGCTGAATGATACTGGTAATAATGGCCCCTGTAGGCTTTAAGTAGAGAATAAATATATCAGTAAAACATACATGAACAATAGATTGCATAACATCAAGTGTGCACAAATAGGTGGATACATCCACACATTATTCCCAGTGAATTTGGATTTCCAATATATGTCACAAATTGTTTTTTGCAAAGTAGATGTAATCTTACTGCTTTAAACAAACGACCCTGGAACGCTACGGGGAGAACAAATCTCTGCATCTTGACTCTAAATCAAGTGCTTCGGGCTGAAGTTGAAGCATCACGTTTTCAGCACCGGGACAGCTCCGCTTCTGGAGGGGGGCGTGGGGGGGGGCGTGGCTCCCACTCAATGCTCGCCGATGTCGGAAGAGGGCGGAGCGCGTCTTCGTCATCCAAGCGAGAAGCCCCCTGACTCGGTGCCTTCCTGAGGAAATATATAAACATCATAATAACCGGCCCACTCTCGGCCCCCGCCTCCCCCCCCACTCCCTCCCTCGTAGATTTGAGTCAGTCTGTGCAGCCCGCGCGCAAAGGGAGGACGTCCACCGCACAGCACAGCCAAGCAGAGAGGGAGGGAGAGAGAGAGAGAGAGAGAGAGGCTATAGGGGGAGGAGGAGGGGGGGGCAGCTGCAAGCGGATGCTCAACATCAACAAGCGGTATGAGGCATCGGTACGGAAGAAGACGGGATTGAGCGAGGCCAGAGACGGAGGTTTCTTCAGGTTTCCTCCTCCTCCTCCTCCGCTGCTTTCACGGATTCCAGCATCAGAGGCGTGGAGCGCGCAGGAACACCACAAGTGGCGAAGCGATGCTTTAGCGGAGCAATTTCTTAGTTAAAAAACAAAAAAAAACATTTTTTTATTCTCTTTTCCAGTTCAGCCGCCCATCGACCACCGTAATTCCGATCGGCACCCCCCCCCCCCTCCAGCCCTCCTGCAGCCCCCCCCCCTCTCCCCCTGAAACATCTGCGGTCGCTTTTTTTGATGAGAGTCATCTCTGGGGGAGATGGCTGTTTTCCGGCTGTCGCTGCTGCTGCAGGTGGGGTTCGTGATCGGTTCGAACCCCGCCCACGCGCAATGGTCAGCGCGCGGGGAAGGAGACGCCGGCGCGCGGGGTCTGATCCGCGGCGCGCCTGAGCACCCTCCCGGGGAGACGGCGAGGGGGACGCAGGAGCGCCTCCCCCGGGTGGTCACGGCTTTTCTGCACACGGGGGACTCGACCACCCTGGAGCACGCCAACTGCTCGCGGAGGTACGAGCTCACCTCTCTGCGCGGGGGTCCGCGAGGCACCCCGCATCCCTCCGTGAGCGGCGTGCTGGACGCGGTGCTGCACGCCACGAACTTCCTCAACGTGATCCTGCAAGCCAACAGGTCCAGGGAGCAGAGCCTCCGGCGCGACATCGAGTGGTACCATGCCTTGGTCCGCAGCGTGCTGGAGGGCGACCCCAGGATCCACCGGGCGGTCGTGGCTTTCAGCCCGGAATCCTCCGCGGCGGGGGGCCCCTCGGTGCTTCTCCAAGCCACCAGGGCCAGCGGGGAGATCGTCCTCCAGGACCTCTCCGGCGCGGCGCACCTCCACCTGCACAACCGCACGGCGGACACGGAGTGGTACCACGCGGTCAGAGAGAGGAAGAAGCCCGGCTCCCATAAGAGGGTGCTGATCCGAGACCCCGCGTCACCCGACGCTTCTTCCAGAAGACGGGAGAGTTTTACCCCGGACAAGACGCACGTCAAGTGGTCCGTGCCCTACCTGGAGTGTGAAAATGGGAATTTTGTCCCCCGCTGGCTTCTGACCTTATCGGCTGCCTTCTACGGCCTGAAGCCCAACCTGGCTCCGGAGTTCAGGTAGGAACCAGGAACAGTAAAAATCCTCCTTTCCTTGTGTTATAAGATGTGTGTGAGACAGAATCATGCAGGTGAGTCCCCCCAACCATCCAGAGGAACACTGGCCTCCCCCTGTTTAAAGCGAGGAGGTGGGGGTGTGGGGTGTGGGGGTCCTCCAGTCTGACGGGCTGCTAAAAATAACCCTGATGTTACTGGATGCAGCAGTGGTGGAAACCTCTGGCTACAGGTCCATAATTCAGAATACCTTTCAGCTGCATGCCTCACTACTCAGGAAAGTGGCACGGCAGATGCCGTGATGAAGCGTGTTTGGGTGTCCTGAAGCCACCCGTGTAACGTGCCACGTTCGTGCCCCCCCCCCTCCCACGCCGGTAAGCGTTGAAGCTCCACGTCTGATCCAACGTCCTTCCCGATGAATACTGAATCCAGGTCGCGAGTTGTGTTCGCTCGGCCTCCGGTCGGTCTTTAATTGATACACTTGAGTCGCTCACTGGCATTTACGGATCGCAACCGAGTCCAAACACGCGGCGATGGCAGGCGGCTGTGGCAGCTACCTGGGGGAGAGCGAAGGCGCTCAGGTGCAGCTTCTCCGCGTGAGTCTACTGAGACCATCAGAAGACAGAACGCCGGGTTTATTTGTGCAGCTAAATTCTTTCACATTTGCTTTGATTTCCCCAATTAATTGTGCTGGCGATGCTTTTCTTTCATGGCCAAAGAAACCGTTTTGTCGTCCACCCCCCCTTCTTCCTCCCATCTTTTGTGGCCTCCACTGGATCAAAGGAAAGGGGGGGCTTGTGTGGGCAATTGGTATTGTTTAACGTCCCCGGAGAGGGTTCCATTCAGCCGCAATATAGAGAAATGCCCCGCTGCGCTTCAAGGAGCGCGAGAGCAACGTCCACTCATGAATATGTTTTCTTCACGCGGGGGGGGGAGTCAAAGCAATCAAAGGAAGAAGACGTTTCAGCATTATTCATTCCAATAGATCATGACACCTCGTAGCATCAAGGAGACCAGGGCAAGTTCTTCACAGAGTACATTCAACGTTTCTCTCCCGTCTTAGCACTTCAAGCTAAGCTATGCTAACAGGAATGTATCGTTCACGCTATTTCAGTCACTCATCAGAAGGGAATCTCAATGTATCACTTTGTACGTGCTTTTTGTAGGTTTCGCAAAGGAAGTAAAACATACACCAGAAGCTCCACGAAGGTCAATCACGACATCATACACAACCATGAATATATAAATATGTTTGTATAGATACGGAGCTACCACCAGCATCCAGGTAGCTTAGCATAAAGACGGCTCATTCTTATGTTCACCAAAGAAAACAACAATATTTTATATGCTATTTTGGCCGATAGATCCCCCGTGTTGTGTCGGTTTTCATATTTTAACAAAATATAACAACAAACCAGCGTTTTTTACGACCGTCGGCCATCTTTCAGAAGCACGCCGCTCATCCTCCCCTTCACCTCGCTGCCTAATAAGAAACTGGAGAGGAGGTGAATACACAATCAATACAACAATGAATTAATAATGGAAGATGTAGAACATCAACCCTGCATCTTGATTCAACCCTTCTACCGCTTCAGTCCACTTCCTGCTCGGGGTGACGGTGTGAGGAACAAGGGACTTGTTTTTATGCGTTTGGCGGAGGGAAATACATAGTGTGTGGACATCTGCTCGCCATGGATCGGCCCGTTCGTTTGCGTGAAGGCGCAAGAAGTCGCACCTCTCGCTCTTGGGCTCCTCTCTTCTTGTCCGCGTCAACGGGGTTGAGACGTTCCTCCTTCCGACCAAAGAAAAGCAACTCATTTGTACCGACAGGCAAAGTGGGAACGCACAGAAGAGGAAACTCACCTTTCTCAAACGCGCGGCTTAATTGCTTTGAGGCTCAAGTTCAAGCCGACGAGTTGAGACTTAAAAGTAAAAGAAGAGAATTTCTCCAAAGGCCAAATAGGTTCTAATTAGAAGGCAGCTTAGCGCCCCGTTTTGCAGCACGAGCAGCTCAAGTGTGGACATCCTGATTGCTGCGGGACGCCGACACAGCGGGAGGCCTCGAGCTTCAGGAGGCAAGCATGCGTTTCCATGAAGCCCATCCAGAAGCCGATTGGCAGGAAACCCCACAACGCCCGAGGCCGAACAGCATAATACACGACGGTGAGCTGAGGTGAACGAGAGAGCAGGAGAGGAGAAATAAAACTGCGTTCAAGAAGGGAAGTGAGCTGAGGGCTTCTTACTCGATGAAGATGAGCGCTGAGATCATGGGTTCGCCGGCGAGTGAGACCTGGAGCAAGCGGGGGGGGGGGGTTGAAGATCCCGAGGTGCTCCTTCCCCCGCCGCTGACGTCACTGGGACTCCGCTGCTCGGCGAGGCAGCCTGTCGGTGCGGCGCCCTCGGCCGCTAAATGTCAACGCCGCGGAAAATCCAACCAGCGGCCTCTCCGCCTCGCTGGGAGGAGACACTGTTTGCCTAATTATACTGCTGAGTAAGGGATAATCTCAGTGATTTTTGTACGATTATAGTCATGTTATTCGGTCGCCTCTCCAAGGATTTAAATCTTTAATATCATCACTGGATGTTTATCCTTAGCTAATCTTTAGTGCAGATTATAAGGGACTCATCAGATTGGACTACAGAGTGTTTGGTTCGGTGGGGAAAGTGATACAGCTACTTTCAGGTTGGGGATTTGTTTTTTGTGAGATGGCTTCAAAATCAAGTAAAAGTCTCATTACGAATATATAGGAGAACAGTTACAAGGGAGGTGGAACACATTAGAAAAGAAGACAAGTTCAACACTATTTGGCAGGTTTAAGACATTTTTTCTTTTGTTTTTTACTATAGTATTTCCACAGAGCGATCATAAGTGTTTAAAGTTTAAAGGCAGAATGTAGATTTGTAAAAAAAAACATTTTAGAACATTATGGGACGATGAGGCTTAAAATACCAAAGATAAAAGGCTTCTATTAAAAGCCACAATTAGTTTTACATCAGAAGGAAAACGTTTCAATTGTCACCGACTACATTGAAACTGTCAGGTCTTCTTTTGTCAAACGGCAGCGACTTCACAGGAGTTCCCTCTAATGACTTCAGCGTCCATAGGTCCGTTGTTAGCATCAGCTCGCCCTGTCGGCTTAATGCGCCGCCATCATCTTCCTCCGCGCTGGTTGTTTAGCTGCGCTCCTCTGAGAGGACGCCGGTTCATCCGCTCGTGCTTCTCCGGCCTTCTCGATGAAGCATCAGCGCAGTGTGAGTGCGTGTGAGAAAGACCAGAGGCCCCCCCCTCCCCCGCCCCCGGCGGGATGCTCCTCCTCTTCGCCGTCCCGGCCCGTCGACCCCACCAAGGATGGGGGGGATAAAAGGAGGGAGCACTCTCTCCATTATCTGCCGCTCTCTGCGATGATCCCGTCTTCATCCCCGAGGGCCTCGGCGGCCACCGTGAGGCTTCTGCTTCACTTATCTTATCTCCCGCACTTCGGCTGGTAGTTGGAAGCGGAAGATGTTGCGAGTGAAAATAAAGAAATAACTAACCTGTTTTATTCTTTTTGTAAGACTAATGTTTGACCTGCCCAGAGAAACGCACATTTACACGGCTCCCTGCTTGATTTGGGGCTCTTTCCCCTTAACTTTCATTACATGCGGGAGAATTGAAACGGAGGTGATTCCTCAGCAAAACAAGCAGCGTTGCAGAAGGGAGGGAGGGAGGGGGGGAAGGAGGCGGGGTGGTGGGGGGGGGGGGGGGGAGGTCAGTTCCGCCCCAGGGAGGACTGGAGCAGCGGTTATTAATAAACACAGCACAGGCGGGGAGGGCGTTGCACTCCGCTGGTGTCCGCTGGGGACCGGTTACCTGGGATCGGCTCTTACACCTGGAGAGTGGCGCACCACCACTGTGTGTGTGTGACTGTGTGTGTGTGTGACTGTGTGTGTGTGTGTGAGAGTGTTGTTCATACGTGAGAGCTATAAACGGGCCGACGACTGATGGTACTCGAGCCTCAGCGGTCGATCGGAGAGAGAAAAGCGGGCAACGTGGCCGAGACATTTACACGAGCAAAGATTGAGTATCAGTGAACCTTTTAAAAAAATTTGATTGGATTTTTGGGAATCTGAAATCACGGCAGGTGTTGAAACCTCTGATTCCACCCGTTTATTTCTTTAGTTTTTATTATTTTAAGATGACGTATAGGTCACAAGGTCGCGTCTGTTTCAAATGTGAGTGATGTGGTGGTACTGTGGGACAAAGCCATAGCACTGTTGCTATGGTTACCTGGATTAGAGTTACCCGGATCCCGACTGGAACAATATCTATGGCGTCTCGTGATGCAGTTCAAACACCTGACAGCCAATCAGAGACAAGAGTTTTCCATTTTGATAATAACAAAATATCCATTCTGTTTCAGTGTCCCAGTAACTACAGTATATCTGTATATAATATATATATATATATATATATATATATATATGTAAGCCTGTGATTACGGTAAATAATCCCACCTGTGTGGTTTTGTCCCCTATATGACATGTTGAGACGTCCTGATCTCGATCAGCAGGCGGCTTTAAACTGTCCGTCCCCGTTTCGCCGCTTTCTGCCGTCTCCTCTTTCCAATTACAGAAAAGGCGGAACTCTCTCCTCCCAAAAGTGTCAAAACACTGACAACACGCTCTGCCGCTTTCTGCCCAGCGTGATGTTCGTCTGAGTTACCGCGAGGGCTTGAGGCGTAACTATGGAAACCAGATCGGAGCCGTAGACGGGACAAGGTGTTAACATCCCTCAGTGTGACATCAGCGTTGTCTTTTTTTTTGTCGGTATTCCCTCCTGCGGTTGCATTTGCTAAGAGGGAGAACACTAAATTAAAATGTTTGAATTCACTTGGAGAATCCATCCGCTGTGAGTTAGTTGGCGTCGTGAAGTTGACTTTGACTTCTCAGTTACACCTGCTGTTGCTGCTTTTGATCCAGATGGTTCTTTACTGGCGCCGCTTTGAGCTGCGCTTTTGATTATGGTCCAATCCTGGAGATATTGTAATTTTAAGTCGGCACATTGACGCCGGGCTTTGGACTTTCATACCGATCCACCCGTCCGTCGTTTCATTTGGTGATTTCTTTTGAATCTTGTTTCTCATTTAGTTTAAATGGCTCGCATGTGTAGCGCATACCGTCAGATAGCAAAGACGTACACGGAGGGGCGCCGACCTCCGGGTGCTGACCTCCGGGTGCTGACCTCCGGGTGCTGACCTTCTCTTCGCAGGGCGTTAAGCAGCTAACTAAGTGTGAAGCTCCCGCGCGGAATCGACCGACGAAGCCGTTCATATCGAGTCTTTTGTCGTGTTTAGAGATCTATTGACGGCCCATCGCCGTCCACGCGGGCCTCAGCTGAGCAGAAGGGATTCCCAATTCCCAAAAGCACATTTGTCATTTGCATTGTAACCTTTTATGTTCGTTGTGTGGTCGGAGAAAAGTAATCCATAGTTAACCATTCCATAGTGTCCACAGTGCCATCGAGTCAGTTATCTGCTGCTATAACAAATTTGCCACATGATAAGTATGCTATATAATGTGTGTCCTGTCCTCCCGTCTCGCAGGGGCGTGGTGCGAGTGGACATTAATCTGCAGGATATTGATATCGACCAGTGCTCCGCTGACGGATGGTTCGCCGGGACGCATCGATGCAACCTGACCACGATGGAGGTGAGTGTGCACAGCGTGCGCGTTAGACAGAAGATTGATTCGCTCTGGAAAAAGTGAGGCGCGACGCGCTAAATGGATCCGACTCCCCTTCAAAGTTACGGGTAAAACCCCTTAACCAAACAACGGAGGCTGCACGTTAAAATGTCTGTTTGAAAACACCTGCTTTTCGGATTACGAAATCCGTCTGATTTATTTACAGATCCATGTCCTTGCATTTGTGTGTTCACGTGAAAGAAATATACACGCGATAAACTGTGATATGTCTGTTGAAGCTTGAGAGTCAGTTAACCTGGATGGAAACATGCTCTGCCCAGGCAGAGGGAAAACAAATAGCCCGACCATTTTTTATCTTGAAGAAAAATGTCCCCTCTGAAGGCCTGGAACATGTAGGCGGAGAGGAAAACCTGTGCTCTGCTATTTTCATCCATCCTCATCCTCCATTTCAAATTGGAAAGCTGTCATTAATGTTTTTTTAATTTTCATCAATGCGAGCGAAAATAGGTAGGATCCAATTAGCAACTCATTCAGGGATTAAACTGTAGTTTAGTGTCATTGTGCATCATGCAGAATGACAGAAAGTTCATTTAATACACAAAGCAAAAAAAAAAAGTGCGTATACTTTTGGTGTGCAACAGCAGCAACGCAACTATTCTCTGGATGTTAGTATGTTAGTGTAGAAATATGGATTGTATCCGCTTTTATCGATGTGTACTCCCAGAAAATATACTTATTTAAATGCGTAAACAGGAGAGAGAAACCCGGCTCTCCACTTTCCAGTTGGCGCCACGCGCCACTAAAGCTGTGTGATTCAATCACGGTTCATTAATCCTGCCGACCTGCTCTCGCGGTGACCTTTTGTTTGCCGTTTCGGCGGCGGCGAGCCGTGCAGTCGATGCCTCTCACCTGCCGGTTCAGCCTCATCATTAAGAGCAGTAGATCTTTGACGAGCCTCCTTCATAATGCATGTGATGTAATGGATCGGCCCTCTTTGAATAATTAATCCCTCTCTTTGTCTGAGTACTTCCACCTTTCCGTGGACAGTCGATGGCGGAGAACGTGTGTGTGTGTGTGTGTTTGTGTGCGTTGGGGGCCTACCGGGAGAGAAATTCATTGTTACTGCTATATAATTTAGCTGGGTTTGCAAAACACTGATCTGTGTGTGCTTACGCTGCAGAAGTGTGTCGGCGGCCGACTCACTTGCGGCTGAATAATGAAAGCTGCCGTGGACATTATGAAGCCTAACACCCGGCTTCCTGCTCCTAAAGGACACGGCCAGGTAAATCAGAGGGGACGTGGGAGGCGGGAGCCTTTCCTGCTATGAATAGAAGGCACGACGGCGGTGTAATCAAGTCTTGTGGGGCGGCGGTATAATGCGATGAAAACACGCTTTGTGAGGGATGGCCCGTATCTGCTCAACAGGGATTCGTTTTGGTTTTATTGCTGTGTTTCCTTGCCTCCTCGCGCAGGTCTTGTGCATGTGCAGCGCGTTGTCGTCTAATGGGTTTCTTTGGGGCCGTTTGAGTAAAAAAGACAATCACTTCAGGCGGCGATAGATCCACGTTAGGAGTATTTTCTTTGTTTTATTGGAAACAAAGCTGCCGGTTGAGTCGGTGTTGGAGCAGTTTATTTACTAAAGTGTTTCATCGATGTAGTCACATCCATCCCCCCCCACCCACCCACCCATGCCCTTTACTACCACTCACAGGCCCTCGCATTCAGATTTGTCCTTTACGTCTCTGAATTCCTTTCATCACCCGGCTGTTGTTGTTCTGCTTCTTAGCACCAAGTGCCATCATTCCAGCAATTGAATTTGAATATAATGCAGTGGCTCCATCCAGCCACCTGCCCCCCCCCCTCGCACAGACAGACACACACACATTCTGCCTCTCAAGCTGCTGTTTGCCCAGCCAAGCATCCGATGGAGTCGGATGCTGTGGAGGATTCACCAGGTAGGAGAAACAAAATGAGGTTCGGACTGTTGACAAGGAAAACACAATAAACCCGACAGTGTCAGAAGCTTTTGGTTTATTTGAAGGCAGTGCTATTTTTTTTTTTTTAATCCTAGGGATGCCTACCGCACCGAGGGATTTCGTCTTATTTTTGAACAGGGGGGGCACAGTTAAGCAGAAAAATCAAATTCGGGATGTCAGAGGACCTCTCATAGGACCTATGAGAACCTTCTAAATTAAGTATTTCAGTCATGAGAAAGTGTCGGTGGCGGATCGTTTTACCACAACGTGCTTCTGTTGCTCACAAGCTTGAGACAGATAGATGGAGAGGACAAACATGACTGAATAAAACAGCATATATAACTTTACTTTATAGTTAAAACAAACAATATACCGTTACGATATTGTTTTCAGTAGCCCCTGTATTCATTCAAATGCATTCATATTAGAGAATCCTGCACATTCTAGAAAATCAAGCAAGGTATGCCGACGCTGCTGTCATGGACAATATAATATATATAATCAATCAATTTGAGAGCAGACCACTCAAGAGCTAAAACTGTATTTTCCTTGATTAAGGACAGAGCAGCTCTGATAAATGCCAATCATGACGAAGCCGGATAGATCATTTTGAAGACTTTCTAACTGCGATTTTGACTTTGCTTCCTGTTCAAATAGGTGAGCGCGTGCTTCCCACCTCACTAATGGCACTTCCATTAGTGGGAGTCTCAGACTCCGCCCCCCACCCCAAAGGGGGTGACCTTTGCGTACGAGAACGCGGCTGATTACGGTGATGCATGTTTCAATCAATTAGCTCTGTTGCTCGAAAACAAGTGGCGGGGGCCCCCGGGGCCGCGGCGCGTGACCTGAAAGAACGGTTCAGCCGAGTCCGAGTCCACGCTGCTTCTCGTCCACGGCGGCCATGGAGGTTTAGACACTGGGAATGGAAAAAAGCAATGTTGCTGACATAATGCCTGGATTTTCCAATCTAAAAACTCAATACATAGATTTAGCCAGAGCTGATTTGTGGTCTCTGAAGTCTGGCGTGAACCAGTTTTCAGCACTGATATACCAGTGAGGTAACTACAGTCGACCCTTTTATATCTCTGCAGCTATTTGATGGATTGCCTGGTTTTTGCAGACGTTTGTGGTGGAGGATGAAACCTTGGGTCTCGTGAGACCCAATAAGGTATAAAGTGATTGGCTGGAAAAACATATTTTCCTTTTCTGATGAAATACAACATCTTTGGTGATAACCTGAATTCTATCAAGAGACATGGTGAGGGGTAACATCACTGATTCAAACTCTTGCTGATACTTTGGAAATTTCACTCATTCCAGCACGAATGATTTGCAACCCAGGTCTGTCTTTCCACCTCTCCTTGGCGCTTGTTCTTTCGCTGTACAGCTGAAGTGGATCTTCCATCTCCTTCTGGTGAAATCACGGTTACATCTTGACCTTGGTTTCACAAGGTCGCCCCGGCCCAGCCGGCTATCATCTCAATCACACGCTGATTTCCTCCGGTGCGCTCCTCGTGCTGCTGAATTAATAACACCATCAGTGTCAACACGACTGCTGCTCCCCTCCTGCTTTGTCTGCTCTCACCTTCTGTCGCTCCCGTTTCTGCAAACAGAACCGTGAACACAGCGCGCACTTGTAGTTCTCCCTTGTAAAGACGTTATATATTGACCTACATTCTCTCCCTGGAGGCTTTTTCTCAAGTCCCAACCAGGAGCACGGTATAATGAATAATAGAGAGGCACCGGTCGCCATTTCCTTTTGCCCATTAGGATTTTTTTCAAAGTCTGACCTTCTGATTTTCTTTGTAGGAGATGACACAGCGAGGCTATAGCAAACCTTTTTACTTTAACTTTATTGGGATTGTTCGATATACTGATGTAATTCTTGACTGCTGGATCTATAGTATCAGTTGAACAGTTCAACATAATTACTTCTATGAAATCTATTTTATATTATTATAACTGAGTTATTAATTTTCCTTCCAAAAGCTACTACTACTACTACTACTACTACTACTACTACTACTACTACTACAAGATCAGAAGCATCATGCAAACCAATGCAATCTCTCTTAGCTTTAGCTGTTAGCTGCTTTATGAGCATTAGCTGCTATCTCTGTTATGAGTATTAGCTGTTAGCTGCTTTATGAGCATTAACTGTTAGCTCTGTTAAGAGTATTAGCTGTTAGCTGGCTTATGAGCATTAGCTGTTAGCTGCTTTATGAGCATTAGCTGTTAGCTCTGTTAAGAGTATTAGCTGTTAGATGCTTTATGAGCCTTAGCTTTTAGCTCTGTTAAGAGTATTAGCCGTTAGCTGCGTTATGATCATTAGCTGTTAGCTGCTTTATGAGCATTAGCTGTTAGCTCTGTTAAGAGTATTAGCTGTTAGCTGCGTTATGATCATTAGCTGTTAGCTTCTTTATGAGCATTAGCTGCTATCTCTGTTATGAGCATTAGCTGTTAGCTGCGTTATGAGCATTAGCTGCTATCTCTGTTATGAGCATTAGCTGTTAGCTGCGTTATGAGCATTAGCTGCTATCTCTGTTATGAGCATTAGCTGTTAGCTGCGTTATGAGCATTAGCGGTACACTTTCTCTACCTAAGTGAGATTTGAACCAAACTGAAGTATTTGTAGCTGTAGATGGATTTAAAACCCGGACAGTGACCATTCCTGTCATCTATTGTTTCTGTGATTTAACGTTACATCTAATGGGTCACGTTCCGTTATCTTTACCTACAGCTGTCTATGAATTACAAGGACTAAACAAAGGCCACGCATTGTATTGGCAGCTATCGTAAAAGTCCTTTATCTGGTCAGGAACGGCTCCACGAGAACAATCATGTCCGGGATCACAGCACAACGGAGTAATGGACAGTTTGCATTTGCAAAGAGACAATTGTACTGGTTAGTTCATTGTTTTGAATTGATGAGATTCATTTAAAATACTTTGGAAACCGACTGAAATGTATTCATCAGTCTTGTGTCTACAAATGAAGATCCTCTCAAAAATGTGACCTCATTTGCATGCA